CAAGAAAACATTTGAAAGTGCACAGTTCATTAGTAAAGTAAGTTCACAGACAACCTCAGAATACTCCAGTGTCATAAAGGTGGCGAATAAACTGCTTACATCCTTAGTATGAACACTAAAAGACAAATGTAAAAAAACAACAACAAATACAACAACCATATAAGAGGCAACATTAAAAGACATAACATGGAACAACAAATGTCGAAAAGGGTGGTGGGGGAGGATGATGCCAAAGTACAGAGTTGGCTTTGATACTTTCTTTTTTCTTAGATACCAAAGTCGTTAGTCTAAAATAATCTAACTATAACTTGTTTTTTTTATAAGCCTTAAGGTAACCATAACACAAAAAACTTATGAGACACACTGAAAATAAATAGCAAGAAATCAAAGTGAGTCAGGTACAGAAAGATAAATACTGCATGGTCTCTCATAGAAATAAAGAGTAGAATATTGGTTACCAGAAGGTGGGAAGTATGAGAATGGGTGGACTAATGGGTACAAAACTATGCTATCTACCCTTACTGAATCATGTGTAGTATATGCATGTATTGAAATAACACACCATGCCCCACAAAAATAAATAAAATTGAAAAAAAAAAATCTAAAAAACAAAAAAATTTTCACAGCAACATCCAGACTAGTGTTTGACCAAATATCTGTGTACCTTGTCCCAGCAAAGCTGATTCATAAAACTGGCCATCACAGGCCCCCACATTGGCTATCTGTATGAGGGAGCTGGGTAAAGAGTATGAATGCAATTGTATATCAACAAAATAAAATTTTAAAAATTAATTAATTAATTAATTAAAAAGAGTATGAATGCAACCGTGGTGAGGGGTCTAGGGGAGTGGGCCATCTGCTGTGTAGCTTACTTATATTCTCTGTCCCTGCTTGGACTTGAAACTTTTCTACCTTTTGATGGATGCCGTTAGGCACAGAATTCTCTGTTAGAGATGGCATGTCCTTGCACCAGAACCCCAGGGCCTGCAGCATGCTTCTCTCATCAGGACTCACATTTGCACAGACTAGTTTGCACAGACTCAGCACTGCACATTTTCCCGACACTGACAACACCAACACTACACATTCTTCTGGCTACTTGCACCCCAGCCTCGACTTGTTCTGGGGCCTTTCCTGCTCCAGACCCCACTCACAGATGGCAGCCTTCCTGTCATCCAGCATTTGGGCCAGAACAATATCACCCAGTGTGGAATGTTACTTCCAGAACCTGAACAGGCTGACCAGACAGTGTGCTCCCTTTTTGCAGGGTAAAGGATACAAGATGCTGAAATTCATTTTTTACTTTGAAAGGGATGTCCCAGCATGTCCCCCTGACGACTGGGATGCTAAAAACTTCCCTGAAGTAGCATGTCCCTGGACCTTCAAAGGTTTATCTTTCAATCTCTGAAGCACATGTTTCTTACCTCTTACTCATCCTGCCCAATCAGCATGATGTTTTCAACATTGTGGACCACTGTATGGTTTTCAGAGATAACTACATTGTCCAGAGCTCTTCAGATTACACTATAGCACAGTGAGTGGGACAGTTAATCTGGCCTGGGGGCAAAATAGTCCGTGTATATTGTTAGCTGTCCCGTGTGAGTATTACCTCTTTCTGATCTTCACTGGGATAAAAGACATTCACCGATCAATGATTGCACACGGGGTTCCTGAGGTCATGTAATTCTGCTATAGCAGAGATACTCAATCAGAAACAGGAGCTGTGATTGAGACTATGACTTGGTTGAACTTTTGGCAGTCTACAATCATTCTTCTAGATCCAACTTATCAAATAAATGGAGATATGGCAGCAACTACCACCCCAGTGTCATTGAGATCCTTACAGGTGACATAAATCTCTGCCATCCCTCTATCACAGAATTCAATACGGCTTTATTTTTACTATTTAGCCAAAAGGAACAATTTCAATGGCTTCCCTTGGCCTTCCCCTCTGTGACCAAAGGTTAACTAAGGACCCTATGGCAGGGTTATTACTACTGCCAAGAGTGTCAATCCCAATTATGTATTCAGAGCCTGGAGAATGATCATGAGATGGGTCCATGGGTCCAGTGAACCCACTATATGCTGGACTTTGCCCAGAACTCCATTTGTTAGCTGGGTCCCCTATGCGACTCCTATAACAGTAGGGTTATTATGATACCTCCAGCCTTCAAGATATCAATGCCTGCTCAAAACCTGTGTCCATAATCTCCCAAATGTCTGGGAATTTTCCCCAGAATAGAGTCACATGAATAAATGGCCTTTGGGGAAGGACAAGGAAGATCATAACATTATAGACCTACTGTGGTGTTTCTAGGTCCTTCCACCTGGAAACCTGGCCACCTTTTCAATCAGTATTGAAAGTTTTCCTTGTCTGAAAACTTCCCCAGTTTCTGAAACTAGACAAGGGGTTGCAAATGTCTGATAGAGAAACTGCCCTCAGCTTCCTGGGCATCCATTCCTGTTCTTTTTGATTAGATATATTAAGATGTGCCCTTACTAGATTTCTGTCTATTTCACAAAACAATCACTGCTATCCATGGACTCAGCAAGGCAACAGCCTTTCTCACCACCAGTTGTGGGCTCCCGAGAACAGCCACCACCGAATGTCCTACCAGCTTGGGGAATGGTGCCTTCTCCAGGTCTTCCTATGCAATGTAATCCTCTGGCGGGTCTTCTGCCATCCCATAATACATCCTCTCACATGGGCCTATCTCCAGGATTCTTGAACCACCCAAGCAGCTAGTTTGCACCATCTTCTGGGGTCTCTGCCACAGTGTTAAATCCCATATCTTGAGAAAATGCTCCCAAGTCCATATACTCTCCCTTATCCAGCCTCCTGGGCCAAGCACCCTCAAAATCTAGTCCCAATTTTCTTCAGTATATGCTGGCTAATTTTTTACAGTTTTGGAGAGAGGCATAATGTCTTTCTAGCTTATCAGGCTCCCCATAACATTCCTGGTTTGGTGATGTTGTGGCTTACCTCTAGTAATTCGTTTGGCAACCAGGAAAGGAGTTGGGGATCCTGAGGATCCCTTCCTGGCTCGTGGGAACAAGACTCTGTGGTGTTGGCCCCCACAGGGGGAGTACTAGCTCTTAGCAGGAAAAGGTGAGCCACCTGTGCAGGATCCAGAATATTTGGAGGTATTTATCCAGATGTCTCCATCCCGTGTATTTGGGTTCCACGTTTCCCCAACCAGGCTCCTAAACTTGGCTTAATGGTAATCGTTTTTGAAGCAAGGAAATTCTATTAAATCTTGATTTGGGTCTTTTGCTTCTCCTACCCTGACTGCCATGGATATAGGCCTCTCTCCAAAAGGCCCTCTGGACTTCACACTTAGCTTTCAACTATTCTCTAACTGCCCTGCCCCACTGTAGGGCATCCATGCAATTGAGTAATGACCAGCCAATTCCACTGTCTTTGTAGACCTTGCATCTCTCTGACTTGTCAAATGCCAGCCAGGGCTTTCCTCTCCACTAGACCATTCTTCCAAGTCATGGCCCTTGAAAGTTATAGTGACTGAGTCATTACCTTATGCCAGAGACTATTCACGCTCCATATATCAGCAGATGGGTCCTCATTGCCAGTTGAGGGAGTGATCTAGTCCCAAATATCATCTGACTTCCTCTTTCCTGGACCATGCCTAGTGACCGCTGTATCAGTTGGGTCCTTCAGGAAGCATTTGCCATCAAGTTAGGAGAGCAAGAGTTTTATTGAGGGGAGATGCTTGTGAAAGAAAAGGGGTATATCAGAATTGGGCAGCCAAAGCCTTTGGATCATGATGCAAATCTGATTTTTGTGAAAGAAAAGGGGAGCAGGACTGGGCAAGAAGCACCCAGACCATGATGCAGAGCTAATAAAGTCCCAACCAAAGGCAGCCCATGAGAGTCCCTGCCTGACCACAGCCAAAGCCTTTGGATCATGATGCAAATCTGATTTTTGTGAAAGAAAAGTGGAGCAGGACTGGGCAAGAAGCACCCAGTCCATGATGCAGAGCTAATAAAGTCCCAACCAAAGGCAGCCCATGAGAGTCCCTGCCTGACCAGAAAAGTCTAGGCCCTGGGATCCCCACCATGCTTAGTCATTGCCTGGCAGCTGTCCAGGAAATTCGTGGCCACAACTTAAAAGGTAATGATCCTGAAGACAGGGCTGGATGATTAGCTCACTTGGTTAGAGCACAGTGTTGTTAACACCAAGGTCAAGGGATCGGATCCCCATACCAGCCAGCCACCAAAGACAGAACAAAAAAGATCCTGAAGGCTCTACCAGCTCTTCACAACTGATCACAAGATTTTCTTAAAGGGAGATCCAAGCAGCCCACTTCCATGGCTGCCACAAGCATCCCATAGAGGCTGACTCAACACATAATAGTGATGATGAGATTTTTCACTTGAGTGAGTTCTGTCAGATGAAGAAATCAGCATATCGTCATCTTTTCCCACCTTCTTTTTCCTACTCAGATGCCAAAAACTAAAATGAGGATCTGGTCCCTACACCATCTTCACAGAATAAAAGCTCAACATCTTTAGTCAAAAGTATATATTGAGCACCTGCTGTATACCAAGAACTACGTGTGCTCTGGCAGAACAAAGGTGAATAAGTAGGCAGCTGCATAATTATCATTCAAACCAGGACCCTTTTAAGAGTAGAAGAGGGAGCTTATACTGGGACAGCAGGTCTAAGCTTGGACTGTCCTGGGAAAACTGGGATGGGGCAGGGGAGGAGTCACAGCTTCTAGTGGGAGTGACACAGAAACCACTGTGAGGTTTTGAGTAGAGGGTGACATGATTGGACTCAAACTTGAAAGTCCCCCCCCCCCTTGGCCTTGCTGAGTTGAGGATGGGCTGTGGGATCTGGATGCAGGGAGACCCATCAGACTTGCCTTAGCCCAGGCAGAAATTATGGGGCTCACCCCAGGGTGGGGACAGTGGAAGGGGGAGCATGGATCATGCTCAGATATATTTTTAATCCACTGGAGCCAGGTTCACTTTCTGATGCATCAGATGTGACATGTGAGAGCCAAAGGAGGAAGGAGGACTTCAAGAGTTTGCCTTGAGCAACAAGAGGTTGGAGCCAGAGAGCAGCCTTTCCTCTCTGCACTTCCAGGGCTCTCATCCTCAGAATCGTGTCCCAGTCCCTCCGCATCTGTCTCCTCCCAGGAGGCAACACATTTATTTTGTCTGTGGACTGTGTCTCATGGGTCTTTTCCTCAGGGCCTTATAAATATCGATCGAATGAATGAATGAATGTATTTGTTTGCTAGGGCTGCCATGACAAAGTATCACAGACTGGGTGGCTTAAACAACAGACATTTATTTCCTCATGGTTCTGGAGGCTGGAAGTCCAACACAAGGTGTGGGCAGGGATGGTTTCTCCTTGGCTTGTAAGTGGCCGTCTTCTCCCAATGTCTGATGTGATCTTTCCTCTGTGTGTGTCCTAATCTCCTCTTCTTATAAAGACACCTGTTATATTGGATTGAGACCCACCTCAATGACCTCATTTAACCTAATTACCTCTTTAAAGACCTCACCTCCAAATACAGTCACATGTTGAGGAAGTGGGGGTTAGGATCTCAACATATGAATTTCAGGGGGACACGATTCAGCCCAAAACAATGGTTAAATGGGTTAACTAAGTAATTTCAGAAACACAAAGGAGGATAAGCCCAATGAAGGAAACTAAGCTAGAAACTGAGAAATAAGGATGGAGTCAGGAGAGACCAAAGTCGCAAAACCCAAAAGAGAAAGGTAGAAGAAGTAGTAAATGGTGACTAATGACCAGGGCTGCAGAAAAGTCAGGTGCGCTGAGGTGCCCTTCCAGAGGAAGAAGCTGTTTTTTTTTTTTTTTTTTTTCCCTTTTTGTCTTTTT